GGAGTTGAAGTCCACTCATCTTAAAGTGGCCAAGTTTGGACAACACTGGTTTACACCATACTTATTACAGAATTACATTTCAAAGGCTTAAAGTTACCTTGTATCAGTTGATAAGGACAGGTTCCATGTGTGCCTTGCAAAAATAAGAAAGAAATAGTGGCTGTTTTGTCACTGGTATATTGCTCAGTCATATGGTACATTAATAGAATAAAGATGAGTTTTAAAAAAACATTTCAGTAGGAAACTGATGGACTTACGGATTTCACTCAGTGAAAGTGCTTCAAGTTCTATAGTGTATGAGCACACTCTTGGAGGTATTGTCTGTTTTTAAAGGGTTTGCCAACCGGGATAGAGTAGTTTGGCAGCAAGGTACGTTGCCTGGATTTAACATCATTGGCAGGCGGGCAGGCATGCACCTACAGGCGTTAGCAAGGCACAGATGCTACATGGACCCTCAACGGAGCCATTGAAACGGCTCCATGAAAGAGCTGAGGGGATGTAGAAAGAAGGCAAGTGGGGTCCGGGCACAGAAAATTGGTAAGGGGAAGAAGAGTTGGATCACAGTGGAAGAAGAAAGCTAGCACACTTAAAAGAGCTGATCTCAACAGATGGGAAGAGAAGGGAGGACAAAGTAGAGCAGTGGGACAAATGGAGGAAGAAGCAGGGGATAGGTATTTTACTTTAAGGCTTGAAAAGGGATTAAACAATAGCATCACAAAGACAGGGGCTTAGTAAAAGATTTCCTGTATCCTAAGTCAGAGGAAAAGACAACTGACAAAGGGAGTTAGCACTAGAGTTGTAAAGGTCTGGAAAAAAAACTCTGAACATTCCTGTATGTGGTAAGTCTTCCCTGGATATCTAAGGACTCCAGGAAGAGCAAACTAGAACAAAATGAGAAGGTTTTAACTAAAAGCCGCACCAGTAGTGAAGTCAACCATCTATACTGCAATTCTCCTATGTTGCCTGGCCTGAAAGTTGCTTCATAATATAATTCACATTTGTAAGTGTTCCATTGGAATACCTTCCCATTTCAAACAAATCCCATGGGCATAGATTAAAATCATGTCAGGTTCCAAATCTTCTGAGATACTGGTTGTTGCTTGAATTAACCTTCATCCACCTGCCCCCCCTCTTAAAGTGTTAGCATTACAAATTTCTAAATTCTCATTCTGCATAACCAATAGGCTAACAGTCCCCACTGTTATGGTGACTGTTGTACTGGGTGGATCATTTAGATTATTTGCATTGGTTGCTTCATACATAGGCACCAGTCAAACATGATACCTGTTTGTATCATCAGAGTTGGAGTATGTACTTGAAAAGTACAGAGTATGTGACTGCAGTCCAGTTTCCCATGGGATGTTGATGATAAAATAATCTAGGCTGGCTCTGCGCATAGACTTAAACTGAGAGAGGTGAAGAATCTGCACATACTTAGTGATTCTAAGTACCTAGTACGGCTTGAATTATAAATACCACATTTTAATATCAGTA